TTAAAGAAAGAAATCCCAAAAATTTATTAAATAGACAAAATTTGAAACCAATAGTGTCAAAACCAATAAAAGCAGGCGACTGTACCTTTAAGGTACAGTACAGTACTTATGTAAAAGTACCTTTTTGTGTATTTTTTAACTTAATTGGGAGCTTAAAGCCATGAAAGTTTTTTCTGCATGGTACACCAAACTTAAAAAAGAGCAAGAAAAATCCATGTCACATTTAAGTCCAACGCAAACTTCCTAAAATATTGATGCTTTCTCTCCTGACTGGATGATGACGCCACTGTCTCTGTGTTTACCCTTCGCACCCCGGCAGTCTGTCTCTGCTGATAATGCCAACATGCCATCATTAGGGGAAGCCGTGCGCTGTACTGTCTCTAGTCTGGATCCAGGGGGTCTGTATCTGATCTACTGCCCACTGGCACTGCTCCTTTGGGTGGGCAGCTGTGTGCCTCCTCACACTCTTCTACAGCTTTTCAACACCAACTCCTTCTCCAACCTCACATCTGGAGAGGTGAGACAGGGGCACACTGCGTTGGCGTTTACATTAGCATTTAGCAGACTTTATCCGAAGTGACTGACAAATGAGAATAATTCATAGAAGCAGTTCATCTAAGAGAGAATCTGAGGGTTGGATACATATTTTAAATGAAAACTTTAAAATGTAATCTGCTGTTTTCTACCATAATAGACTACTAGATAATGGGTAATTGACAAATAGTGGGTTCATGAACTATGTATAGGATTAGATATAGATAGTCATAGAATAAATGCACCTTTCAGATGAATCTCTTTTACAGGGATTCTGACTAGAATCTGATTTGTCTGTCATGGGTTATTTAATCATTCATCTAAATTGTCAAAACACTATTTTAAATGTAATATCTGATTTAGTATTGTATATTAATGACACTTTTTTTAAGAAGTTAAACTCAACAAGGCTGCATTTATTTGATCAAAAATATAGTAATATTGTCAAATAATATTACAATTTAAACTAACTGTTTTCTATTTCGATGTACTTTAAAGTGTAATTTGTTTCTGTAAAGGGAAAGCTGAATTTCCGGCAGTCATTACTCCACTGGTGTCATATGATCCTTCAGAAATCATTCTGATATGATTATTTAGTGCTTAAAAACATTACTTTTTACTATCAATGTTGAAAACAGTTGCTGCGTAATATTTTTGTGGAAACTGATACCTTTTTTTTTAAATCTAGGTTTCTTTGGTAAATAGAAAGTTCAAACAAACAGCATTTATTTGAAATGGTAATCTTTTGTAACATTATAAATGTGTGTGTGTGTGTGCGCGCACGCGCTTTTTTGTGACATATGAGGACACAAATTTGTATTATGACAGGTATTACAAGGAGAAGATGAGGACATTACCCCATGTCCCCACTCTTCAAAACACTTATAAATCATACAGAATTCTTTTTTTTTTTGAGAAAGTAAAAATACACAAAGTTTCCTGTAAGGGGTAGGTTTAGGTGTAGGGCAATAGCACAGTTTGTTCAGTAAAAAAAACATTACGCCTATGGAATGTCCCAACAATTCACAAAAACAAACGTGTGTGTGAGAGAGAGAAACACTGTTCATGTCGAAGTACCCATTCAAGGAGTTTTCTTCATAATGTGTTTTGCACTTGTATTTTAGTGCTTTGACTTCACTTTAGCCTCATACATAGCATGTGTGTTGTATGTTCTCTGTAGATCAAACTTCCAGTGCTTGAGAACTCCCTCTCCATCAGCACCAGAGCTCTCATATGCTCTCTGCAGTCCTCAGCAGCTGTTACTCTCCAGGTGAATGACTCGCACCCTTCATTTGCACAATGTTTAATTCAGGAACTGACAGGATGTGGACACAGAATGAACTATTTTTTGTGACAAAAAATCTGCACAGCTCAAACCATAGTATTGGATTTGACAGTTTTCCTTTCAAACTCAGTTGTGGCAGTAAAACATGTTTAAGAGTTGAAAAAAAGTCATTTTAATGTGTGTTTCTTTTTGTTCAGCTAAAACTGGTGCGGGAAGGTGACAGCTGTGAGGAGTCTCTGCAGCTTCTCCTGGTGGAGGACAAGAGTCCTAACGGTGGAGCTTCATACGCTGACTTCCTTTTTCACCTTCATGTCAATGCATTGCGTCTTGTCGTGTGACAGTCTCTTCTCATAGACAAGGCTGTGGAATATTTGTAAAGTCCTTTGTGATAGTTCAGTCCCAATGTAGTTGACCTTTTGTTTCCTCTATAGCCATTGCTGCTGCTGTTCTTAAATCTATGAGGAAAAAGAGTTCTGTCTGGATTTACCATACATTTATCTCTGAAATATTTACAACTTTAGTAAATGCAAATTGGATGTGACCAGCTTGTTTTAGGGGAAATGCTGAATACTACGATTAGTCCTTTAATTTTCAAGGGCTTAGAATGACTGATTAGTGTTTGAACTCCCATCAAAGACTCAGTGATTAATGATTCTCTATTTGAAGTGTGTGTGTGTGTGTTTGGTTCTAGACACAGGTTTGATTTAACATTTGCTCTTGTGTCATGAATATTGCACTCTGAATTGAATTCATGAATTTGCCCAACTGGCAGTGGTGAGTTAGAGTGTACATGTTAATATTTTTCAAGCAATAATATATTCATTGAATTTTTGGTCTCATTACACCTCAGTATTTAATGTCTTGATAAAACCCCTGGTATTTTTCAAAGGGCCATCAGCATGTGGACCTAACACTTTACAGTTTTAATAATTTACGTAACATTTCTTTTGTATGAAGAAGATACTTTTCTCTCCAAAAATGAATAAATAATTGTAAATGTGTAACTGGCTCTGAATCATTCTCTGTCGAATCTCTTTAGCATTGATCTTCTATCCAATGCTACGTTCTTGTGAAATTTCTGCCTCTCCTCCACAGAGAACCGAAAGGCAGGGAGAAAAACTCCTAAGGAGTCATACCAAGTCTAATTTGTGTAATTGGAGTTAATGATGTTGACATTGAGCTGAATATGAAATATTGAGTGGGCGTCCATGCTCATTATCTAATGGTTGAAAACACACACACAGAACTAAATGAGCAATGTAAACATGATGGAATGCATCTCACCATTTCAGTTTAAAAATTAAAAAGAACCAGTTTTCTCATACTTGATTTCACAAGATAACACTTTGTGTATTGCATTTGCATGTGAAAGGTCATTGGAAGCCAACAAAAACCATGTCAGTCATCAGTCCCCTCCATGGAAAAAACCCTATTACCATTTATCCTTGTGAATGCAAAAGACAACTTTATGATCCTGTCATGCATATCAAATGAATAACAACACTTTATTTGTATGGAGCCTTGCATATAATGGAGCACAAAGTGCATAAGCGAGTACAAATCAGAATAAATAAAATACAGAAATACGCACTTAAAATGCAATAAAACTAATACGATTAAAAGATAAAGTGTATATTGTATAGTTTTCGAAATGCTAAACTCACAATGTTTGTTATGCATGCATTAAATATTTTATTTCCGTCTACCATCGATGCTTTATTTATATTTCTTTTGGTTTACACGCCGCTGCTATCAGGGTTACGTAAGAGCTCATCGAAATACAAATAGCCCCCCTCGTGGTTTGTCCCTATTTGGAGTTACAATAACAGTAACCCAGCGGAGCCCCACGCACGCTAGTTCCGCCGATAGGTGGCGCTCGCGCAGTCAAGTTTGAAGGCAGGCGATTGGAGCACAGCGCGAGGGTGAGGAGGACGCACGCCGTCAGCATACACGCTGTCCCACTCAACCATTAACCTGTCATTTCAAGACATATCAGGCTTTTTTTTTTTGGAGTGCAAAATCGAGGTGAATATCCAGGACGCTCTTACTCGACGACTTTTAATTTCTTAAAGAAGCGGGTCCGAGACGGGAAGACATGGCCACGACTACATGTACGCGCTTCACGGACGAATATCAGCTGTACGAGGAGCTGGGCAAGTGAGTATCACGAGGTTGTCGGTTGTGCATGTGTGGAACTGTCCTGCACGGAGATTGCATGATGATATTTGGGCAGGGGAAGCGAACTGACAGCAAACGCGAGGTGTGGTGGTGCCCCGATAAGCGTGCTGTCACTGAGGGAGGAGATAGACACGCGCAAGCCCTGCCAAGATCCGCTGACCAGCACTCAGACCCGCTAATATTATTTCAAAACAACCCACTTGCAGATGCAACAAATATTGATTAGTGCAACACCCCTTAAGCTGCTATTTCATGCACGTGCAAAATTCAGTGTGCATTTGGGTTGCGTTTGGCATTTCCATATAATCAACGACACGGTGCTTTATCTGTAATATATACTGCATGTAGACTATATGTGACCCTGGACCACAAAACGGGTCCATTTTTGGAAATTGAGATTTATACATCATCTGAAAGCAGAATAAATAAGCTTTCAATTGGTGTATGGTTTGTTTGGACAATATTTGGCCGAGATACAATCATTTGAAAATCTGGAATCTGAGGGTGCAAAAAAAGAAAAGAAAATCTAAATATTGAGAAAATCTCTTAGCAATATTACAAATCAAAAATTAAGTTTTGATATATTTACGGTAGGGAATTTACAACATATTTTCATGGAACATGATCTTTACTTAATCCTAATGATTTTTGTCATAAAAAAAAAATCGATTATTTTGACCCATGCTTTTGCCTTGTGCTACAAATATATCCGTGCAACTTCTGACTAGTTTTGTGCTCCACGTATGATATGTCCGAAATATGAACTAATCGTTGATTCGGATCCTTTGAAGGACTCGGTTGATCCGTTTCACAAAACCCTTCTGTATTATTTGTCCACGAATCTGACTGAATCGGTGCGAGAGGCTCTCAAATGAACTCTCAAATGTTGTATGCATTTGGGGTGAACCGATAGAATATTTGCAATTTGAGGAGAACTTTATTTCAGTAGCAGGGATATTAACAAATAAGACGTGCTGGAACTATGCTTGCGTCTTGACTGTATGACAGGTTGCATCATAGTTGAGTAAATACTGTCATACTAACAGCTGTCTGAATAATTGTTGGTCGATTGTAATCTATTACATACCTGTCTATCAAAATTATCTAACATTATCAAGATGAATTTGTTCTGACACAGTGTGAGTTCTTGTCATATTGTATAACCATTTTCTAAACGAGAGCGAATAAACTGTGATGATGTGAGAAATGTTGAAGGTGTCTGAATAAATTTAGGTTTGACTGTATCTATTTGATAAATGAAGTTAACCAACTAACATTATACATAACCTTTTGGTTTCTGTACCCAATATTGAAAAAATGTACAAATGCAATAAAAATATCGGTATCGGTACTCGGTATCGGCAAGTACCAAAAATAAAAGTATCGGTATCGGGCGAGTACTGGAAAAAGTGGTATCGGTGCATCCCTAGTTGCATTTGATCCGTTTTTTACCCAAGAGGTGTAAATTAATTTTCATTTTAGGACTGCAAATGCAAATAATATTTAGGCTGCAAGTAACTTTTAAGAGCTAAAACGCATTGATTTTAGGAAGTGGTGAGCTATGACTATTTAAACGTTTTTGAGCACCTAATATTAAATATTTTGCGCTGTCATGGCCTAATGGAATCACTGAATTGTTATTTTGAATCGGCTCGTTTGGAAAAAACTATTCGCGAGAAGGACTAAATACTATAAAAACTGCTATTATTATGACAGCCTATTTCATATTATTAACTCATATAAAGTTTACCCAGAAAATCATTCTTTGTAAGAACCAAAATAATGCCTTGATAACCATGAGACACATTGTTTATGTGTAGAAATATTCATCTGAGTTTGGTTATTCAGTGCTTTATATGCGTGCAAATAGCTGTCTGGATTTGACCATCTCTTTAGTTTTTTAGAACTGGGATTGAATGTAGAGGTTATGTAAATTCCCTCTGGGAATCAAGTATTACAGGAGCAACGAGTGAATGGTGAGACCGTGTGGAAGAGAAATGGAACAGCAAGGATTTGGGTGAGGAAACATAGCGATGATTCATGGATCTGAAGGGGCAGCAGGGCAGGCGTCTCATCACCCCTCAGGCCTGAGGTCTAGCGGAATCATACAAATTGCACATTGCTGCTCAAACTAGCAGAAATATGCAGATATTATGTGACCTCTGACAGCACATTGTAGTCCAGAATGTGACCTGTGTGTTTGTGTCTCTTTTACCCAGTAGCTCCAGTCATCCCAGTAATGCAGGGAGAGGTAGTTGTAGAGGAGGAGCTGGAGTCTTTGTGTCTCTCTCGCTCACACACACACACACACACAGTTCTTATAAATCACTTTAATAGACACTAAGGGCTTTAACATGCCTGACAAAAACAGGCCCTATTGAAGAGCACTTACGGGTGACTGTGTTTTGTTAAATACTGCCTAGACATGATTGGCAGTGGTTTTGTTGATTTAGGTATTTTTTGATGCCACCAATGTATTGTCCACACTAAGAACAGGGATGTTTTAAGAAAGTCGAGCACTGTGGCAGCACTGTGTTCATTTACTCGCTAACAGCCCATGATCCAGTGTTTTCAGTGTCTCAGAGCGGCTTGGTTCCCAACAAATTCTGCTCCATCTCTGCAGCTGCTCTAAACAAATTTGTAATGAGAAGCACTTATAATGGCTGTTGTCAACAAAAGAGAAGCTTTAATGGCTCCCTGATGGTTGATGGTTTCACATTCGAAATTAACTAATTAAAAAAATAAACATTAAATATTAGTACTGTAAATAAATAAATTTTTCTCAAATACTAGATTGCAACTCTACCGTTAAATATAAAAGTAATATTTCTCATTTTAATTAATATTTTATTTACTAATACTACTACTATTTTTTACTAACTTAAAATAATAAGAAATATATTTTTTTAAATTACTATTGTAATATTGTAATATTATTATTGTAATCAATTTTTTATAAATTCTTATTGTTATTAATATGGAAATTGCAATCCCAGTTATTATCAGAAAAAATTGCAATTAGATTTATTCCTTACAAATCCTGCCTATTTGAATTTGATCAAAACTCATGTATGATAAACATAAGATGAGTGTAAAAACAGGCAAACCTCATCTACATCACAGTGTTTGCATTATTGCGTAAATGTAGATTTTGCAAAGATGTTGTTTTAGGCGCGGACGTCTTTCTCGCCATATGGTTTTCTGACTCTGCATAAGTTGTGAAACCTATTAAACATGACAAACCTACTCTACCGTTTTATTCATATAACACAAACCCAGTTGAGTATAATTTATTAATACAGGCCTCCAGAATTAGCTCTCGTTTTAGTGGCATCAGCCTTCACAGTCGAACAGCCACTACTGCAAATAAATAATCTGCTGTGTTTAACATGGGGGGCCATTATCTTACTCTCTTTGCTTCTCTTGATTTCCTCCTGAAATGTTAAAAACAAACACCAAACACGCTGCCAGGGATTGAGGCAGTCTGTCTGATGTTTTGAATTCAAATTTTCATACAACAGAAACTTCACTGTCAACATGTAGAACTATTATTATGGCTATGTTGCTATTATGCTGTCATGACTTTATACGTGAAGTCTCAATTCATTTGTGTTTTTTCCCAGGGGAGCGTTTTCAGTGGTGCGACGATGTGTGAAGTTGAGCACGGGCCAAGAATACGCCGCCAAAATCATCAACACCAAAAAACTCTCCGCGAGAGGTTAGTCAATTCCTGAAGATGTTCCGAGACGTTCAAAGTTTTTTCTTTTTTTTCGTAACAGTATAACAGAGTG